CGGCCACCTGCAACGTGGCCTGTCACCACCCACTTATGTGGCAGGTGATGCAAACATGGAAAATACTATTAAAAACAACCCTCCTGCTGTTGCAGAGCTCTTTCTATGCATGGCCTGCACCAATGTCCAGGCAATAACATTTGTTTGCCTGCACCCTGCAGAGCTCCATTGGTTTTGTCAGGCCAAGAGTAGGGACCACCCTCCACAACTCATTGCAGTAAGTTTCCCCCCAAAAAAACACATCTGGGATTGCTGGAGAGAGAGGGGAAAAGGGAAGCAGGGAGAGGATCATACCTCACATCTTCTCCATCTTCAAGCATGGATAGACAGATTGTGCACTTCTCGTCGGTGTCTGACTCCTCGCCATCCTCTTGCTCAGCTTGGCCCTCCTGCAGTCTTCTCTGCAGCAAAATCAAAGACATAATTCAGCATGGATTGAACTTTCTAACATTTGCCCAGAATGCAGAGTCAGAGGAAGGCGAATGATGTGGACTTCATCTATGGTCTGAATCCACAAGGCTAGGGAAGTCTGACTGGCCCAAATATTCAGGGTGGAAGGGATGCCAGCTCCTGAGCACCCCACAGGCCATAGGGATGATAGAAGCACTCCCAAGGACCAGGAAGCCCCAGGGGAGCACAACTGGTGACCCACTGAGGTCCTTTCTCTCCATGCCCAACACTCCTGTCCATGAGTGCTGCCACCTCTCAGCTCACCTTCTTGTACTTGTGTGGGAAGGTGAACCTCTCGATGGTGTTCTGCACGGCGCCCCGGCTCACGCTGCCCAGCCTGTCCTCCAGCTGCAGCAGCTCCTTCAGCAGAGAAACAACAGGAAAAAGCCATCAGGAGAATGCCCAGCTCACAGATCCCATGGGCAAATGGGAGCCACCAGCAGGAACCACCAGGCCCTGGCCCATGAGGCTCCTTCCCCACTGTTTCATCCAGGGAAATTTCCATGGAAAGCAATTCGGTTGGGCTTTAATGAAGAATTTGAGCCCTGGAACTTGAGACAATAAGCTCAAGTCTTGAACTAGGATTTCAAGGTGCAGAACTGAGACCTGGTTGTGAAATATTGCAGAAATTAGAGTGAAATTTCATCTCCATTTGACAGGCAGGAAAATGAAAGTCTGGAAAAAAATCAGCATTTCATTTAGAGACATAAACTGAGCCAGAGTCAACCTCAGGCAGATCCAGATTAGACCATCCTTTACCAAAACTGTTGAACTCCTTTGCCTCTCTGTTAACACTAAAACTGCTGGAGGCCTCCCCAGCTGCTTGTGAACATTTCATCAAATCACTTTTGCCAGCTGATGTAGGGACAGGGGTGATATTTCCAAGCTGGCCCAATCTTTGCCCTCTCTTTGGCTGACCTGAGAGGCCTGAGCAGAGCCCATATCTCCATCCTCCCCCTTCCTACATCTCCTCTGCAATTACCACGTGGCAAAGCGGAGCTGTACAAATTTACATCAAAGCTTCCACGGGGTTTAGAAATTAAATAACTACTCCAGTCCATGAGATACGTACTTCATAGCTTTCCCGCACAGCGGACGTGTGCCTGGTTGGGTTCAAACCCTGAAGAGCAAGTAGCTGAAGCTGAGGATAAGGGTAATTTCCGATTTCATGAACAACCTGCAAGAAGCAAGGAGGAAAGATAAAGTCATCTGTATCAGTACAGCAAAAATCCCTCATGTATCCTGATTTAGAATAAGTACTTTAAACATTCAGAATTAAAGAGCAGACTGACACCTTCACCAACAGAAGCCTTTTAATAATCAGGAACAAAATTAGGTATATTAAATAGCTCTCATAAATTGATAACCAAGAACATACATTTAGTCTGAAAAAAAATGCTTCTAATAAGTTTTGCTGCATCTTTAACATTGCGGCTCCAAGCCCTTAATCCAGTGCAGATTCTTCATCAGCTGAGCTCTGAATTTTCAGCCCTGCTATAGGGCTCAGGTGTCAAGATCTGACCCCAAGAGCAGCAGGCAGGAGGAAATAGCACCACTTTGGGGTCTCCAAGGATGCCTTAAGGACTAGCAGAGCCCTGCATGGTTCAACTCAAAACACAAGAACCTGCAAGAAGAAGGGCCCCTAAATAACCCTGGTCTCTGCCCATGCAACAAATCATGCAAAAACTCTACAGACAACACAGAGGCCAATGCAGCCAGCAGTTGCACGATGGGGACAGATCCAAATGAGACACCTCCCATAAAGCCATCTGCACATGAAGACCTTTTCCCAAGGACCAGGGCTGGATTTACCCTCCATTACATGCATCTGTCTGGTGTAGCATCACCAATCGCATCTCTCTGGAGCAGCTGAACATCCTCCCTTGCCATTTTCCCCGCTTCCCTCTCTAATCCAGAGCACGCCAATACGACTCAATCCTTTCGGATGCTGCCTCCCACAGCTGGAGATAAGCGGAATCCTCAGCAGAGAGGTGATGGAGAGATAGCAGCCTTTATTTTGACTGCTTGCTGGCAGGCAATGCATAAAATTTCCCGGTGAAAGCGCTTCGCTTACCATCTGTGCTGAGGACGTGCTCCTGGGGAAGTGGTGTATCCGCGGAGTAGCCAAGTAATGCTGATAGGGCTGTGGGACTGGCCGGACCTGGAACCGGGCATGAGCCAGGCCCGTGTCGACACTGAGATCCCTGCAGGCACAAGACCAAAAAACACACAATTTCGGTGGTGTGCTTTTCAATTCCAGGTCCCCCATCTGTTGGCTTTAATGACTTAGATCATGCTCATGGTAGAAGAGAGCAACATCCCCTTGGTGAGATCTTGTCTGCTGCAGGTGCCTCTGCCTTGAAGCCTAAGCTTGCTTGGGGTGATACACAGTTGCCACTTCCAGGATGGTTGGTAGGCACACACTCTGCTCCTCCATGGTTCCCTAGGCAGCACAATCTACCCTCCTTGCAGCTGCAAAGGGGAATAACGGAGAATGGAATGGAGTGAAGACACCGCGGCCAAACTCTGTTGCACTCCCTGTGCTGGGCTGCTGATAAGCTGCACAGTAGCTGTCCAATGGGAGATATACCATAACGTGTCTGGTGCTGAGCCAGCAAAGGTGGCAAATCACTCCTTTCGGATGAACTTTACTTGAACTTTGCTCCTCATAAGCTCATTATAATGTCAAAACACACCACCCCAAAAGTTACCCACCTCTGAGGTACGACCACTCCTCACTGAGCATGTGCTCTAGATTTTCGATTGAACGTCCACTTGAATGTAAAGAAAAGTATAAAAGGTGAATTAAGGATGAAAAGTAGGAGGGAAGAATACATTGTAACTCTTGGGTTAGTCAACGGGCTGAGCCCCCTTTCCTCCCCGCACACTGGAACGCCGCCTGAGGAGACTCGAGACTGAGAGCCCTCTCCCATCTTCTGGGGTGAGTGACGATTGCACATTTGTACATCAGAGCTAGCTAAAAACCCCATGCTGCAGTAGAGAATTTCCTGTACTGGCATCCGAAACCTGCTTTGTAAATGTTGCATTTGAATAAATCCTGCTGTTTGTGAACTCGACTACTTGTTTGGGGGGAGGTGATCGGACCTACAGTTGACAGACTGTTTGTGAATCCGATACTGGCAGAGTCGAGCTTATAGTTGATCACACTATTTGGGAACTCGATTCGCTCCTAGGAAGGCGATCGGACCTACGGTCCACGGACTGTTCGTGAATCCGATACTGATTTGATATCTCCTCCCCCTCCCCCCCATCACCACCACTACGGTTTTCAAACTTCAACATTTCACAAAATTGGCGTAGTTGGCAGGATGTCGATAAAGGAATTCCTATGGAGACAGAAATGTGGCCCCTCAGAAGGTGGGGAAGATTGGGCCAGAGATAATTGGTCAGATCCTGAAAAGGTTTTGCAAAGAATAGAAGAATGCCATGCTAAATTTAAGGATGGCAAAGGCAAGTGTTATTTGTGCCATTCTGAGCGGTTGCCTAATTCAGGCGCAGAAGGACTATAAAATAAGTGAGAAATTGAAATTAGATTATCAAAGTAAGAATTCAGAAATTCAAAGCTTGCAGCATGAATTAGAGAGGGAACGGCAAATTGAAACAATGCTAATGCAGGCACCCCACACACCCCATGTACACCTCCCTACTTGGATCGATCTGTTACACGATATGGTGAGTCGTGGACGAGAGATGGAATGGTCAGACCTTGAACCTCCACCAGAAAAATTAGGGAAAAGAATTTGTAAATCAAATTTACAGCCCTCCGCACAATAATTTATGACGACAAGCATTAGCGTTGGGAGCGCCCAGCTCTATGTTGCATAGGCAATCCCCAGACTGTATCAAGAAACTGCTTGAAATCCTGTAACATAAAGTGACTGTATCTCCCCCTTCAAGTGGGCTGGACAAAAACTCCCCTTCGGCGCCCCCCCCTCCCTCTGGCAAATCAAACAATCCTTTTGCACCTCTAAGGGAGGAGTTGAGGAGATCAAAAAACTAAACACTACAGACTGAGACTCGGGCAGTCTGACCCACATGATATATGTTTGTTTTTTTTAGTGGCCCGAGAACTAAGAACTCTAAATTACAACCACCAATAAGCTCAGAAATTACGACATTATGTCTTCCTTATAAACTTTCATCTATTAAGGGTAGCTCCAGATTTTACTAATGCCTGTACCGAAGAACAAGCACGGGGTGGAAATAGAAAGCAGCAGCATTGGAGGTAACTTATACTGATTGCTTTTGCCACATTGAAGGAGACGACTGATTGGGGAAATCTGAAATCTCCAATCAGATCCAGACTAACTGATGAACACTTGCATCACTTGTTACGACTAGCAGTGACAAATATGGAACCTAACATTGACCATCTCATTAGCCAAAAGCAGGCCCATAGTTCACATTGAAATATTATTTGTTTTTGTTGATTACAATTGTTCTTCATTTTAAATATTGCATTCTTTTTCCTGTTTTTTGTGCACTACTACAAATAAAATATGTGCAGTGTGCATAGGAATTTGTTCATTTTTTTCCAAACTATAGTCCGGCCCCCGACAATGTCTGAGGGACAGTGAACCGGCCCCCTGTTTAAAAAGTTTGAGGACCCCTGCTCTAGCCTGTGCTTTTGTTATTATTGTGATTGCATTTCTCATACTAATTTTAGTGTGTAGGCTCAAATCGTAGTTCAAAAATAATGGCCTGTTCCAGCATATTTTCTCTTCTTCTAAACATACTCCGTTTAGTAGCTCTCCATTCTTATCTTCTGCACTGCTTTAACACTGCTACTTTTAAACAATATGTCTATTCCTTTATACCCATCAGAAGAACAAAGGGTAAGATTCTCCCCCTCCAAAATAATCATAACTTAAATTGCTCTTGGTTTGG